ACATCCTTAATATTTCGATAAACTTGTTGACTTTTTTATCACTTGTAGAATCAGTAGAATAATAATAAAAGTTTTCTTTATATGAAAAACTATTATCAACAAAATATAGTTTTACGTAGTCAAGGTCTGATGTTCGTAAAAACTCATAATTCACTATTCTTCTTTTTGTAGTTTTGGATTTCTAATAATATTCATTGATAGTGGAATTTCCGTCTCCGATATCATATTAAAATCTCTCAATCCAAGAATATCATTTATATGGAAAAATAATTTCAATAACAGCTTTATCTTCGGAAAGAAAACGATTCTGGAAAACCGTTATCAAATAGGTTTTAGGGTATGCATCTCTACATTAGAAGATATTTTCATTTTTGCTGTATATCCATATTTTTTAAATTCATAAATTATTGAATCACTACCCACGTTTTATACTTCATCTCCATGACCCAAAATTCCAAATAGAAGATTGAAATAATACAATTTTTTTCCCCTTGATATTCTTTTCTTTTCCTGTATTTCCTGTTTTAAAACGTCGTTATTAATAGTAGTTATCTGTTGTTGAATAACATTATCATCAATATTTTGTATTAGTTGTTAAAAGTAGGTTTTAATTTAATTATCATCAACATTTTGCATTTGTTTAATATTTGGTTAGTTCTTTTTGTAATGCAATGTTAAATTTAGTTTCTAGAGCAATTAATTCCTGTTGAAATGTATCTTCATTTTACCTGGAGCAGCAATGTTTTTGTTGAACATCTTATTTTTGCTTTGCAGTCTTATCTAATTGAGATATCAATGAACATAAATTTTCAAACTTGTTACCTCTTGCTGTAGTTTAGTATCATTAATATAGTTTTTATTGTTTAGTTGACGTTTGAAGAATAATTTCACATTACTTGTTATATCTTCTAAATGGTTTTTATCTACTTCAATTGAAGTTATTTAATCCAGTAAATATTTCTTGTGAACATCATTATCATTTTCCCGAGACTTTAAATTTGTTATTTGTGTCTCCAATTTGATCAACAAAGTAAAGTTTTGCTTTATTTATACATGCTGTGGTGTTAGGTCTTTTAGTATATACAGGTAACGAACCTAAACCAAATTTATTCGCTATTTTAATTAAATTAAATTTATTACAATGTCTTCAAACTGTTTTCCTAAGCTTCACCGATATAAAACCCAAAGTAAAAGCTGTCTACAAAACTTTTGTCCTGGCAGTTGAACTTGAAATGCAGAACATTTAATTGATTGATTTCATTATCACTTCAGCTGGTTCCAATCCAAATGAAGTCTTTGACCTATTCTTTCGAAGACAAATAACACTTGATATGTGATTTGACTTTTCCGATTAGATTGCTTTTTATATAAATAAACAATGTAGATATGTGGTTTTTTTCAATAGTATGAAATTAGGTGTTGGGGCTTTCATATTGGACGCATTCAGACATAAAAACGTGTAATGGGGCGTTTTTAATGTCTGAATGCGTCCAATATGAAAGCTCAATAACTATTTACACAACTATTACTAACTACTTTAACTATTATGTTTCTGTACCAAACAGTGTTTTATATTTGCGACCAAAGGTCCTTGTCCTTTTCTGATAAAACTTTGTTTTAACATTATTGAGGCAAGCAGTATCGTTTTCATTATATAAAACATGGAGCTCTTTACCTAGCATCAAAACACTGTAATCCCATGACGTTTTCGGCCTTAAACTGCAGTTCTGTGTCTTTACAAGTTATTTAATTTAATTCTGTTCCAGTAGCGGAGTAATCCTTTTTTCAGAATGGTATCCCCCTGTAATCAACCCATGTCCCCTCGAGATGTTACGTTTCTGCTTCGTTTAGTTAAATCTAAGTAACATCTGCAAGCATTATTAAGCACATTAATGCATGTATGGGTATTGATTCCCCATATTCCACATGCATAAGTAAGGATACAAGAAATTCATATAACGTTTTATATACATTCTAATTAAAACCACCAAATTGAATGAAATTTGGTTTTTTTCTTGGTTCTTTAGCACTAAATGAGTAATCACAAAATTCATTAAGCCATATACCTAAGTATTTATATTCACTGGTGTATGCGTTATTCAAATTGCCACAATTAAATTTAACAGTGCACCTATTGACATAAGGATTACGGAAATGGACAATTTTAGTTTTACCTTCATTTGCGACTAAACTCCACTTAGGCACCAATTGCTTAATACATCTAACAGCCGTTGTAGTTTATTTTCATCTTAAGCTAAAAGGACTATATCATCTGCATATAATATTGCAGAGATCAGTTTACCATCGATATCTATACCACATTCGTTAGCATTCAATCCGTTAACATATATAGAAAATAATGTCGGTGGTAATACACAGTCCTGTTTGACACCCTGAGTTACTTGAAACCATTCAGTTAATGAGGAGTTCGCTTTAACAGAACAAGACACATTTTCATAAAGTGATACTATACTATCCATTAAAATCAGGACTCCTCGACTGTTACTTCGGTAAATTAAAATTCTTATCCCAGTGTGTTTCCTGTAGACAGGCAATCTGCCCTGATCTGGAAAAACCTAGTAATTCACATCTTAGACATTTTGAGATAAATGGGAAAAACTTTCTAATCCCAGGATTAGTCTCCATATATATATAAGACAAATGTTAGTTTCTAATAATAAACCATTATAAAGATACTTTAAGTAGCATATGTTTAAATCAATTTTACCTGATTAATTTGTTTGTAATTAGACTTACTAGGTTTTTCTTGCCCAAATAATACGTTTTTGTTGAACTTTGTGGAAACAAAAACCTAGCAGACTTTCAATAATTTTATCACACAGAAATCGTATAATATCTTTTAATTCTGACAACATAAATTATAAGCAGGAATTGTTGCTTGTATTTTGAGCACCTTAGAAATCTTTTCTGGTATCAAACATTCATTTAACTATAACTGAATGTATTAATTTGGAATCTTCCACTTGAACGTTTCAATTTAAGAGAATGTTTGGAGGAGATCACGGCTCTCAGTGTTCACAGGCATATCAAGCCAAAATTTCTTTTTGGGTCCCGGGAAATATTCAACCAGTTTAAGAATGTTTTGTTGTTTATTTGCGGAAATACCTCTTGATTGAACCATCTTGTTTGGATCAGTTTGTAAATTAAATTTTGGTCGCAAGAAATCTATTTCAACCGCTGTATCGTCAAATGATCGTTTATACCACATTGATCGAGAACCTTTGCGAAATTCTACTTCGCAAAGATTGGCCAGAAGGGGTAGCTCCACTTTTTTTGACTGTCGTGACCGGTGCCCATCTTCAAATAAGTAGAAATCACTGGAAGTCATCACAAAGCTTTTTGACACAATTCAACAAAATCGTGAAAAGTATATATTTCTTTCTGTTTTTTGAACCCATGTTTCCGTGAATGCTGTCGGCTCTCATAAAAGTATGCCCTTTTTCAAGAAATTTAATCGTTACACTTGTGGGTCCCCATTATTTGTTTACACACCATGCAAAGGCAGTGAAAAGAGTCCAGTTCTTGTTCTGACCAGAACAGTTGTCGACCAAAAAACCACTCTGTCTTGTGCTGAAGTTTGATGCATTTAATGAAAGCTGAGGCTACATCAGTAGCAAGCCTTCCAGCTATGCCTTCATGCCAAAGGACAACAAAATCTGTGTCTCCATCTAAAGAGGCAAATGTTTCGTTGAAAACAACCAGTCTTGAAATGAAAAAATGCTCTTTTGTCGTCAGTTTTGGCAACAAGATGACTTTTTGCATATCTACAGCAAACAAACTTCTCTTGGAATTATCAGTAGATGACGATTCAATATCATCTTGGTATTGCCTTCTAGCTTTTGTATACTTTGCTTTGTGCCCTTCTGATTCTGCACAAAGACCGCAATTGTCTTCATCATGGTCTTCTTCGGATGAGGCAACATGGGCATTAATTCGTGCACATAAACCACAGTTATCCTGTGATGGACGAGAAAATCCTATGTTCATAGATTCAAATACGCGCCTTCTTGTTTTTCGGGGGTGCCTTGCCTCTTTTATCCGTAGAACTCAACAGAATGTCATCTGGACTTATCAACTTTTCTCAGACAAATTCAGTTACTCGTCCATCGCACTTAAGACCAAGTGTTTGAAGAAACATGTATTTACAGACGGGTATCTTGGAAACACCCTTGGGTAATATATTCTCTAATGTATGCGAATACTGGATTTGGGCGTGCTTGTGATGTTTTACTTTCTGGATTATAATGTGTCCATCAAACCATAAACGTCGTTGAGTAAAATCAAATGACCAAAATGTATCATTTATGGCTTGTTGCTCTTCGGAAAATTTTGTATAACAAGATTTCCGACAGGAATTCTGGCATGGAGACAAGAGTGGATACTTCTGTATCATGTGTTCTTGCTTGTCTTTTTCGGTACGACGTCTTTTTCTCTGAATTTTATCAGCAGAAGCATCATTTTTTACAGGAGATTGCACTGGACTGTTGCGGTTGGAAGCACCATCAGAGAGAGCTGGATCATGAAGATTTAGAGTAGTAGGACCAGGAGACACATTGTTCTTAGAAAGGTCAACTGGTTCTGCTGGTTCAGTAGCTAATCCACCATCAAATGATGTATAATTTGCTGGAGCTGGACAATAAACTACATTCAATGGTTTCATCTATGTTTACACATAATTGATTATTTGGTGCGATATCATTTGTAAATATATATATATCCCTACTGTCACCTGGCATGGATTCAGCAGATGATTGATCCAAGAGAAATGTATCATCTTGGTTAAGATTATCTGGTTTAAGACAAGAAGATTCTTTGTACTTAGGAGAGTCAACTTCGTAAAATCAACAATTTCAGCAGACGTTACAGAATCTGAAGTAGGTTTGAACTCATGACCAGTATCACCGTGCGGGTCAAAAGAATGATTTTCACTTTGAGTTTCTGATTTGTGTGTGGTATTCATAATCTTTGCATTCTTACTGAGTGCTAAACGAAGCATCATCATCCCCCGAGACATCATATTGCATTTAAAGTCTTTGAAAAATTGAGAAAAATACTTTCTAAGGCATATAAAATGGAGTCCACAATGACATGTCACATGACCAAATTCCGTGCTGATAATTGGCTAATGAAGATTACTAGGTTTTTGTGGAACAACAGCTGTCAAATGGGTTACTTGCTAGGTACTGCCAGGACAAGATCTGAAGAATGTGATGTCATAGATACATTTTTCTGACACCAGAAGATAGGGCAGAACCTAGTATGTTCTGAAATTGGTCAAACTCAATTTTGATAAAATATTGACTTACCGTACTAGGTTTTACCAGATCAGGGCAGCAATATCAATATTATTCATGTAAGATAAAAACTGCCAGTGGTACAAAACCCATTGTCATTCCTTGATGCAATTTTAATCACCACATGAAACATTTACTTAACATTCTCATCAGTTGTCTTTTTCTTCCTTTCTTCGTCATCCCTTTCTTTTAATTACTGCTTCCTAGGTGAATTGTCTTCTGGTTCTTGTTACAATACTTGTTCACAAAGCCACATCTTTTTCATAGCATTTCCTATTACCTCATGTGTACAGTATTACAAAAATATATACCCCTTATGTTTCTTTTAAAAGTCTCCCCTGGTCAACGATACACTTTTAATACTTCAGTTAATAATTTTTTTTTAAATTAAAAAGTACATTTGTAGAATTGGGTTTTGTGCGCGTGGAATTATATCGTTCTCTTTCATATGTAAAATATTTAAAATATAGGAATCCATGTTCCAAACATTTAAGAAAATTCCTGGTTCTAGGCTTCTATAACCGTCCTATTCGCAATGTTCAAACCGAGTAACATCGTAATTTATCTTCGGGTCACATAGTTACCAAAGGTCAAGGTCACGACATATATGCCTTAAAAGTTTTAAAATTGCTGTTATCGGAAGCCTCTAAAACCGTAAGTAGATGTCGGATATCAAAGATCAAAGTATGAATTGACATTATAACTCAATGACTTTTGACCTTGAAAAGATCAAGGCCATCAATGTTGAAGGTCAAAAATGAAAATTTAGTTAATTGTAAAACGTATCCCTTTTTTAAAAATGAAATGAAATGAATGGACTTTTATCCTTTTTTAAAAGAAGCCCAAACAGATTTATCTTATAACAGATTGACCAAAGTAGTCACCTGTTTTCCTGCAAAATATTATCGGTGACTAATACATACTTTGCGAGTTATGATAAATTGCAAATATATATGGTAAATGTTAATCTAGCCCGGATGTGAGACCGGAACCGGAAATAAATGAAAAGCAAAATCGAAATTCAAAAATCTCCTTCCCGAGATGTAATGGCAATCGATTGAAGATTACATATACATCAAAATTACATACATCCGAATAACCTCTTAGGCCCGACTTTTACAAAAATTAGTCAAATTAGTCATTTTTCAATATCTTTGCAATTCTTGCTAATTACAAAAGAAACGCCAAAAAATAACGCCAAAACCGGAAGTGATTTTGAAATTATGAAAATTGAATTTAGATTTCATATCGATCGAAACAAAATTATAGGAGATAAAAAAACCTCAAAATTGAAATCAAAATCTTAATATTCTTAAATTCTTTCGTTTTATGTTATTTCCGGCTAGAAAAAAATGCTCACCCTAAATATTTTATTTTCGTTATCATATGTACAATTTTAAATTATGTTCAAAATTCCAAACATCTACAATCAAGCGGAAGTATATGTCAAACATCAAAGTATGAATGGACATCATAGACCAATGACCTTTGACCTTGTTAAGTCCAGGTCATCCATGTTAAAATCGTTAATTTAACAATTAAATGTTAATTGTAAAACTTGTTCTTTTTTAAAAACATAATGTCACGAGATTTAACACTGAATGTTTTGCTCCAAACTGAAAACAATCAACCGAAAATCACTAAAAAAGAATATCGAAATTCAAAAATCGGCATCCTTTAGCAATCGATTGTAGATGCTTTAGACATAACAAAAAAGCAAACCCGATTAACCCCTTAGGCTCCATTTTGAGTCTACAAAAATTGGCCATATCAAAATGACGGCTAATCCGATGCTTCCGAGACGAATTTCATTATTTTTAATCTTAGAATTGAACAATTCTAACATACATAGAATTTTTCTGTAAAAAGTCCGGAAGTTAAAATTTTGAAGCAAATGACATCAAAACGGGAAGTGATTACAGATTCATTATACACCAAAATTGCACGCATCGGTATTTACCCTGAGAATCCATTTTGAGTTTTATAAAAATTGGTCAAAATAGCGTCAAGCCTTTACCCTATTTGCAAGAAATTGTGAATGACGCTAATAAACGTTTCCATGTTTCTACAATTACCATACAAAAGGTTTACCTACAGCCCTAGCCAGTGCTTAGGAGAAAAGATCAGTCTTTTCATTCCCTGGGACCACAACAGGGGGTAAATTTTATGCATTAGTGTGAAATAAATGTCGTGTAACGAATAAAATACCGACATAAATCGGCCCGATTCAATTTCTTTTCTAGTTTTCGTACATTTTGCTATACATGTATATCATATCAATTCATGTATGACCTGTTTCATAACAAAGAACTTATCTCTTTTTAGATTAACAAAACGAAGAATTGAGTGTGAAGTGGGTATTTTGGAGAATTGTAGTTTTGATTTGGGAGAAGTCATGGGAACATTCTACAAAAGAAGTCTTCCTTCTATTTGTACAGATGGTAAAGATGCTGGGAAAGTTATTTGATGCTTATGATGTCACTCATATTTGTACATAAAGCTGTTTTGAATAATAAAGAATCGTTAGCATAGTTTACATTTTCGTATATTGACCGCCGACCACCTACTTAAAGCCTCGGTCCCATTTGAAATTTAGGAATCAGTGGGACATGTACCTTGCCTTGTGATGGATAGCGACATAATATTTGCAGAATCATCAACATTCAAACTTACACCGGGGATGATCCTGCAAAGGTTCGCATAATATTAGGTGACAGTTCTGCGACGTTTGTCGGTAATCTGCGATTAATATTCGAAATGTTTACTTACCATCTGTCGATTCACTACGAGCTCCACAGGACGAAAAGTGTGGGTTTAGTAAATTCCATATAGGATGATTCATTATCTTAAGATTTTTTTCTCGAATTAAATTTGCTAGGATGCCTTTGTTTATACGGATTCCATGGTTTACGGGAATAGAATAGAAGTTGTCTATCAGAAGCGTAATAATAAGAGAGACTGAACCCTACCCCTCGTATAAGTTTAATCGTTATACTTTTTAGATTTAGAGTTTAATTGTCCCTAGACGAGTGGCATCTAATGATAAATAGTAAATGGAGCTGAAGGTTAAAATATTATATAGAGTAAGATAACCCATCTGTCTCCTATCTACTCCCAACACTTGGGTATCGCCAACAATTGGTAGAGTGGAGTGGCTCTCCCAGGTTGCTCTATTCGATGGGTTAGGGCTAGCCAAAAGGTAGCAATCCTCAAAACAAGATTCTAACATTGTATATCTTTAATGACAATCAATCCGTATACATTACATTTCGTGGAAGGGAGGGTTTGATTCTCCCAAATGTACAGGTCTAGGGTGGAGCACTTTATTTAGAAATTAGGATTAAGGGTCTTGATATTGGGTTTTCTTCTGTTCTTATTCTGATCTGAAATTAGAAAAAATAACTATAAAAAGTTTAGTATCTGTTATGTACTCATTGTTTTTAGTTTACTATGAATATTATCATTTAAGTTCTTATTTTTTGAATATGCAAC